TAATATTAATTGTTTTGGCTTTTTATTATGTTTACCTTTGTTGAACGGTCAACATATTAATATTACTCTACTACACAATAATGATGACTTTTGTTGTGTTAATATTAGGGTAAATTCCACTTTACCCCCTTGTACTCTGCCCAAGAACCACTTTACCCCCTCGTACTCTTAATTTCGTCGATTTACCCCCTTGTACTTGTACAATTTCCCAATACAACCCTCTTCATCAACTTTTTTCGATTTTGACTCTGACGCCATTTGGTCAAGAGTCAAAATATTGACGTAAATATTGAATTTTTTCGATTTTGACTCTCGAGATTAGAAAAGAGAAAGTTTCACACATTCATATATTTTTTTCTTTGCACTGGGTGGAATCGAACAATTTTTTGGTCTTGATTTTTACTAAGTTAGGGGTTCAATTTGGGGATATCTTGGAAGGGGAACTGGTGGGAGAAGAAGAAATGACAATATTGACGGAGGAGAAACGACGCGTTATAGGCAGTCGCAATTTTGTAATTTACAGAGTTGACCAAATGGCGTTAGAGTCAAAATTGACAAAAATTGAAGAAAAGGGTTGTATTGGGAAATTGTACAAGTACAAGGGGGTAAATCGATAAAATTGAGAGTACGAGGGGGTAAAGTGACTCTCAGGCAGAGTACGAGGGGGTAAAGTGGAATTTACCCTTAATATTACTGTGCTAGAGATTAATATAGCTATATTATTGTGTTAAACTGTAGTATAATTAATTTTACTGTGTTTACAGTAATATTGTTAATATTACTGTCAACCACAAAAAAAAATTTGTTTAAACGGGGAGCAAAATTAAAAGATGTTAAATAAAAAAATAAAAAAAATCGAAAAAGTAAACGATGGAAACCGGTGGCGGAAAAATCACGAAGAAAAAAAATCGAAAAAGTCAACGCCGGAAACCGGCAGAAAATCAGGAAGAAAAAAAAAGTCAGCGCCGGAGACGGGCGATCAACGGCGGTGACTAGGGGTGAAAGTCAAATGGATCGGATCGGAGTTAGCTTTTCCGAAAAATTTCCAAAAAATTTCGGAAGTACAAAATCAATTCCAATTCTAATTCCAATTCCAAAATTTTCGGAATCTAAAAATTCATTCCAATTTTTCCATCTAACATATTTTATTTTATTATTATAGACTTTGTCGTCTTTATTTTTTCGTTTTTCACTCTAGCCTTTTTTTACATTATTATAAACAACTTCATTCTTTTATTTATTTTTAACATTGTACTAAATTTTTTTCGTTTTTGTTAAATAAAACAATATAATACTATGTTGTACTGTGGTATACTATGGTATACTATAATTTACTTTATTAATATTGAAAATTGTGAATGTTTTTTTTAAAAAAATCGGTCGCAGTAGACTATAGACACCTATATGAACCATAGTAGTCCGTAGTCACATACTCATAAAACCCTAGCTCACATTTTGAACCCTAGTCGCTACTCATTCGTATACACTCATAGTAATTCATAGACACACATAGTCATTCGCACTCATCCAATATGAAACCCTAGATCCGCCACCTCCACCACCTCCACTTCCGTCCTCTTCCTCGATGTCTCATCCCATCTTAATTTCCTCTATGTCTCATCCCATCTTAATTAGACTTCCCTTTTTCCAAACCCAACATCAAATTCTAACAAAAATTACTGTCGCCATCGAAGAAAACCACCACCGATGCCAGCGACCAAAACCGTCGCCGCCCCCACCGACCAAAACCACCATCGCTCGCCGCCCCAGCAACCAAAGCCGTTGTCGGCCCGAACGACCAAAACCACCGCCGCCCCTAGCGATCAAAACTACCTCCAGCCCCCAACGACCAAAACCACCACCGCCCGCCGCCCACTAGCGATCAAAACCACCGCCGCCCCCAACAACCAAAACCACCGCTGCTCACCGCCCCCACCGACCACCGCCGCCTGCCGTCCCACACCAAGATCCGATCTAAAAAACTCCTACAACTAATACCACCAAGTCAATGAAAATAAATAAAGAGAGAGGTAGGGAGAAGGAGAGAGGAAGGGCTGTGTCAATGAAGAAAGAGAGAAAGAAGGCCATGGTGGGGGTGATAGAAAATTGAAAAAAGAACGGACCATGGTGGCGGTGGATGAGAGAGGGTGAGAGAGAGAGAGAAATAGATAAATATAAAGAGAATGAAAGATTGATTTTTATTATAAAATGGTATTTTTGGATTAAATAAAAATAAAAGAAAATTGGTCTTTCGCCGTTTGGCGGAGTATAGGATTTTTTTTTTTTTTTTTTTTTGATAATTGCGAGTATAGGAGTTTGATAAACCAATTTTGACCAAACAAAGTTTTTATGTCCGAAAGTAAAAAATAAAAACTCATTAAAACATGAAAACACCATTGTCCCACGTAGACTTATTTCCTAAAAACTCTTTAATATTAAAATTATTTTGTTAATAGAAAATATTTTCAGTCAACACCTCTCTCGCTCTCTCTCTCTTCATTCCAGAGTCCCAGACTGAAGAGCAGGAGAGAGAGAGAGAGAGAGAAGAAAACAGAAATGGAGGCACAAGGCAAAGTAGTGACAGTTCCGAGAATGAAAATGGGATCGCAGGGGATGGAAGTATCGGGCCAAGGACTAGGCTGTATGAGCATGTCCGCCTTCTACGGCCCGCCCAAACCCGAGCCCGATATGATCGAACTAATCCACCATGCCATCAACTCCGGCATCACCTTTCTTGATACTTCCGACGTCTATGGCCCCCACACCAATGAATTCCTCCTCTCCATGGTTTTTCTCTACTTTCTATATTCCCCCAATTATCAATTTTTTTATTGATCGGAACGTGTTTGTGTTTATGTCTGTGTGACTGTGTCAGTGTATATATATGTTCACTCAAATCTATCTTTAATATATATACTCATTAATTATACCTGCTTTTTTTTTTTTTTTTTTTGTATCCTTATATTAGAAATACTCTTCTTTTATTTGTGAATTTGTTTTTCTGCTGACTGGAAGAAACTGATATACTCCATCAAATTAGTAGTTTCTTTTTTTTCTTTTCTTTTCTTTCTTTTTTTTTTTTTTTTTTTTTTTTGTGATATGGAAAATATGAAATGTTTGAAGGCAAGCATCATTTTTACAACTTACAAGCTGGTATTTTGCTTCTACTTTTTTTTTTTCTTTCTTTTGTTCGTGTTGATCTTTGTTTGTTGGTGAGTAAGTGATTGTGTGTGCAATGAGTAAATATGTGTGATTGTGGAGTTTTTGTGTAGGCTTTGAAAGATGGAATGCGGGAGAAAGTTGAGGTGGCCACAAAATTCGGGATTAGATTAACGGATGGGCTTAGAGACATATGTGGTGACCCTGTTTATGTGCGTGCTGCGTGTGAGGCCAGCCTGAAGAGGCTTTCTGTTAGCTGCATTGATCTTTATTATCAGCACAGAATCGATACACGACTTCCCATTGAAGTCACGGTTAGCCCCTTTTATCTCTGTTTTGCCATTTCCGAACTCTGCTAAAAACGGCTCTTACATTAGCTGCACTGACATGGACTAGCTTTCTCAATTTTATTTATTTATTCTAATCGAACTTGGAGAAGTGAATCAATCTCGGTGAACGATTCGATCCTCAAAGAAAATGGATATGCAAGATAATAGTTACTGTCTTACCGATGGGGCCGTTTTGTTTCTTATTGTATCTATGCCTTGTATTTATTTATATATATATTGTATCCATCTTTCCTCGGGTTAAAAATATTTATGATATCGTCAAACTAAAAATCTGCAATGGTTTCTGATTTTTACTAAAAGATATCCGCGAGGAATCCAATATAACACCCACTGCAATAATAAATTAAACCCAGCTTTTATAATGTTTGAAATGTCATGTAAACCCTTACAAATTTTCAGTGATTCGTAGTTGTCAGCATTTTTATTAGTTTTGTTTAGCATATATAATTGACCATAGTATTGTTGAAACTTGAAAGTCTGAACTTATGCAGAGTTCTTTCACAAAGTCGGTAGATATTAACCGATTTCTCAATTTTCAGATGATACGGTTCGCTTCTAATTTCTGTTATCCGGTGAAAAGGAAAGAGTGTAGAGAGTGAGAGAGAGAGATGAGATTAACAAGAAGAATCTTGCATGTTGGTTGTACTTATTTTGATATTATTATTTTATTTATGCATGCAAGATGGGGGAGCTGAAGAAACTTGTGGAAGAAGGTAAAATAAAATATATTGGGCTTTCAGAGGCATCTGCGTCAACTATAAGAAGAGCGCATTCTGTTCATCCGATTACAGCTGTCCAATTAGAGTGGTCTTTGTGGTCTAGAGATGTCGAAGCTGAAATTATCCCCACTTGCAGGTTCCGTGTTTATACTATTAATTACATTAACATTATTTTTTATAACTAACTTTGTTTGTAATTTCACTTTCAGAGAGCTCGGTATCGGCATAGTAGCCTACAGTCCTCTGGGGAGAGGTTTCTTCAGTTCTGGTCCAAAGCTCGTCGAAACTCTCTCTCAAGGAGATTTCAGAAAGGTTTGCCTATCCGTTATTCATTTTTAACATAATTATTATAGTTGTGATATACAAATATATGCGCAGTATTTACCGAGATTCCAACCAGAGAATTTGGAGCACAACAAGAAACTATTCGAACGAGTGAGTGACATGGCAAATGAAAAGGGATGCACACCTTCACAGATTGCTCTGGCATGGCTTCATCACCAAGGAAATGATGTGTGTCCAATACCTGGTACAACCAAAATTGACAATCTCAACGAAAACATAGGAGCTTTGTCTGTAAAACTAACATCCGAAGAAATGGCCAAGCTTGAATCATCAGTCGATGGTGTCAAAGGCGACAGATATGGTTCTAATATGGCCACATGGCAAAATTCTGAGACTCCTCTGCTATCGACATGGAAATCCGCATAAGAAACAAGATTTATATATTTTACTTCTTGTCAGAGATTGATATTCGTATAGTCCCCCACGACAATAAGATTTGAGTCACGTAGATAGAGACTGGCTTGCGGTAATATGTGATTGAATGATCCGGCATTTGCCTTAGTTTTCTTATAACTAAATTATATAGTATTTCAAACTCCGAGTTCATGAAATCGTGCATTTTTCGTGTTCTTGTAAATTATTTGGATTTCTGACAAACTTCATCGATTGCAAGATTAGTTTTTTTCAAATTTTGTAGCTCTTCAACTTGAGACCCAAAGAATATTAGGGTGCATTTGGATGGAGGGATTTGGGGAGGGATTTGATTTGGGGAATGGATTTGAAATGACTCCAATTTTGGAGTCATTTGAAATCCATCACTATTGCTCCAAAATCAACTAAAAAGGAGGGGTGGGGATTTGAAATCCATCTCCAAATCCCTCAATCCAAACAAGTTCGAGGGATTTGTTATTATGGATTTGAAATCCCCCCCCCCCAAATCCCTCCATCCAAATGCACCCTTAGAGTTCTGGCAGGGGACAGATTTACTTAACACAAAAAATTGAGGAGACAAAAACCAAATATTCAACAAC